GCACCTTTTGCTACTTGGTATCCAGGTGGAATTATTTCAGGTACAATTACGTAGAGAGATCTCAGCAGAAAGCACGACTCCACACAGGACAGGATCTGGAGGTGAAAGTGAGTTTCAAACTGACTTGTCACGTTTAAATGTTTTAATAATTCTGGGCATGACAAAAGTGACAGAAAGTAAACATGTATCAGTCATGTAGGCGTGCTCTAAAAACAAACTAGGAGCACTTACCAGCATTAGGTAGGTGGAGGAAATCAAAAGTTTCCCCATCTTTGGAAAAAAAAAGACTGACTTTGTCCTGCGTCAAAGTGTGTTGGGAGTCTGGTTAGTGTAAGTGTGTTAACTCAAGAGCTTTGTCTCTTGTCTATTGCTTCACTTCTCTATCAATGTAAAAAGGCAGGCGTTTCTCAGACGGCACACCCAAGTGGAATTTTAAACAAGCGAAATAGCTTTGGGCTGTGCTCGATGGTGTCTGCTGAGAAAGCTCCCTGAAAGTTGCAGATATTCACGTTTTTTTTCCCCACCAGCAGAGGCAACATGTCTATTTTACTGCCAGACATTAAACCGTGACTAAATGCGGTTTAATTCTGGAAAAAGACATTAAACCGCTAAAACTCTTCCCCTCAAAGAGTTTTAGCGGGATTATAAGAGCTACAAATACACAGAATTAAAGCATGTAGCATTATTTATATAAATCTGTGCATATAGAGTATAAACAATATTCTTATAACACTACAGCATGCTGCAGGTACATTTATTTGAAGAAATACTGGTCTGTCTGCTTTTTTTGTCAAGACTTGTCTGCAGTAATGACTTGGTCTTTGCTCATCAGGACTACTAAATATTTATTTTTGTCAATCTTTTGCAACAGATCTACCAGGATTCACAGTTGTGGCCAACCAGCACTAGTATCACCACCACGATTTTGCTTAAACCCCACCAAGAATTAACCTTAGACCGAACCAGTTGTCACAAACAATTTTTCTTGTTGCCACCTGGAAAAAAGTAAAAGAAAGTCAATAATGATAACACTATCTATGCACTTCCTAGGAAAGGAAGTCAGTGTTGTATAGCTTTTCTCATTGCCAGTAAAGCCATTTGAAGCTTACACAGCTACATTCTCACTTGAAAATAACTTAAAAGTTTATTTTGTGACCCAGACAGAGTAATAATTCAAACTCCGCCACTCTGTGTTTCTCCGCTGCTGCCTCGTTTGCGTTTTGGACGAAATGGATTCTGGGATATTGTCTGTGAAGGTTCTCAGTCATCCAGGTCATCGTAGTCAA